GGGGGGGGGGGTCCTGGTCCCCCTTTTTGTGCTTCCCTCCCCCCTTTTTAATGGGTTTTTTTTTTGGCGAACTGTCTATTAAGAGGTAATTCAAACCCCCCTCCCAACTTGGTGCCCCCCCCTCCAAGAATGTTGCTGGATCTCTGGTTCCATCATCCACTCCTCTTGGATTGAAGGTCCCATCGTCCCCAGCCAGACCTGCTTCCTTCCAAGCTGGGATTTCCCCCAAGTGAGAATGGGTTCAAAGGCCCATGATCCCCAGCCGGGATTCCCCAGATGCCCTGGGGTTTTAATTCCCATCGTCCTCAGCCTGAACTCTGTCCATCTCCTCCTGGCACTCTAGGTGTGTAGGTGACAGTGCCCATCATCCTCAGCCTCTGGTCCTCTCCAGGTTATAGTCTATAGTGCCCATCATCCTCAGCCTCACTTCTCAGTCCCCTGGCAGGTTATAGGCTGGAATTCCCATCATCCTCAGCCAGAACTCTCCCATCTCCTGGCACTCCAGATGTGTAGGCCACAGTGCCCATCGTCCTCAGCTTGAACTCCCCATCTCTTAGCATTCTCCAGGTTATAGACTAGAACTCCCATCATCCTCAGCCGGAACAGTCCATCCCCTGGCAATCTTCAGATGGGCTAGCCTAGAACTCCCATCATCCCCAGCTGAGTTCTCCATCCCCTGCACTTTCCAGATGTGCAGGGCAATAAACCCCATCATCCCCAGCTCAGCTCTTTAACCCCCCTGGCATGTTTTCAGATGTGTTAGACCAAAACTCCCATCATCCCCTACTAAGTTCTCAACACACACCCCTGGGCACTTTCCAAATGTGCTCGGCAAGAATTCCCCTCATCCCCGGCCAAACCCCTGATGTGCCATGTGGAAATCCTCGAGCGAGAGCATAACCTGCATATGAAAAGCAACTTGATTGAGAAAATGGAGCCACTTAGGAGGGCAAGGAAAAAAAATTAAATAGTTTGGTTACGAATGGAGATAAAAGACAGGGGTGAAAGCATCTTGATGGGATTGGCAGAGAAGCTAAAAATAAATGGGGAGGTGGGTTATAATTAGCTTTTTCCCATTTGGTTAAAGAATGGCCACGGGCAGACATGACAGCAAACTTTATTTTATTTTTAAACTGCCTTTATTATTTTCAGAAATAACTCAGGGTGACAAATATATCCAACATACCTTCCTGTTCCTCTTTTCCTCACAACAACCCTGTGAGTTTGTGTTGGGGCTGAGAGAG